CACAGCCATATCAAAAAGGATGTTATAGCTATCAAAAAAAAAAAAAGCAATTATATTATTTTCAGCAAAATAGCTTGCACTTAGAGAAAGCTAGCTTAGAATCAAGCCCTTTTCCTAGAAAATCATATTAAATTTATTCTACTAATTCCTCACCACTGTCCATAAACCACACAAAAAGCAATTTCAGTTGAATACAATTTTCATTGACGTCTTGCATGAAGAAGAAAGTTTTTGAATAATTTGATTGAGACCCAGCCCTATGAATTGATCAGTCAACAGAGTGTCACTCAAGTGCCAGGAAAAATCTCTTGCCAAGGGATAAAATGTCAGATTTGGGAACTTTTAACTTTAGAATAGCCCTGATACTAATTACAAAGACTTGTCTTCTATATAGATTTCTCTTCCTCTGGATTGCTAACTTGGCTCAAACACAACATCTACAACATGTAAAACATGCTGAATCTTAAAGGATTTAATTTCTGGTAGGTGAAGAGTCCACTCACTGATGGAGCTTGTATCAGCACTACAGCAGCCCTGCTCATCTGTGCTCTTTTGGTGTCAGTATCAACAGAGAGATTTGCAACCACACAGGGGCAAGGGTAGAACACTGTGTCCTCCAAAATGCAATAGATTGCTTTCTAAACTTACACATGATATAGTCTTTTTCCTCCTTCATCCTTTGACATGATAAAATTGAGGTTTTGAAGAATGCTAACACAAGAGTGATAACAATAAGGTTGTCTGCAACCTAACAGTAGCCTATGGTGTAATTGCTGGGCCTACTAGAAATCAAGGTCCTGAAGGATGAAGCTTTAACTCATGACTTTTGCAGCAGCACAGGATCATTCCAACCACCATTACTCATATAAATACAGAATCATCTAGCCTGGAAGAGACCTCCAAGACCACCTAGTCCAACCTCTGACCTAACACTAACAAGTCCTCTACTAAACCATATCACTAAGTGCTACATCTAAATGTCTTTTAAAGACCTCCAGGGATGGTGACTCAACCACTTCCCTGTGCAGCCCATTCCAATGCATAACAACCTTTTTGGTAAAGAAGTTCTTCCTAATATCCAACCTAAGCCTCCCCTGGCACAACTTCAGCCCATTCCCCCTTGTCCTGTCACCAGGCACATGGGAGAATAGACCAACCCTCACCTCGTTCCCCTGTACCCTGGTCTGGTGGGCCTGCACCTCAAGTACTGTACTCAGTTTTGGGCCCCTCACTACAAGAAGAATATCAAGGCCCTGGAAAAGGGCCCACATGTCCAGATAAGGGCTACAAAGCTGGTGAAGGGCCTGGGACTCAAGTCCCATGAGGAGTGGATGAGGGAACTGGGGTTGTTTAGTCTGGAGAAGAGGAGGCTCAGGGGAGACCTCATTGCTCTCTGCAGCTATCTGACAGGAAGGTGTGGGGAGCTGGGGGTCAGCCTCTTCTCACAGGTAACTAGTGATAGGACTAGGGGGAATGGCCTCAAGTTGTGCCAGGGGAGGTTCAGGTTGGAAATGAGGAGATATTTCTTTTCAGAAAGAGTGGTCAGGCATTGGAACAGGTTGCTCAGGCAGGTGTTGGAGTCACCATTCCTGTGGGTGTTTAAGGGAAGGCTGGATGTGGTGCTTAGGGACATGGCTTAGTGGGTGACATTGGTGGTACGAGGATGGTTGGGCCAGATGGTCTTGGAGGTCTTTTCCAACCTTTATGATTCTACATTTCTAAATGTTTTCTAGGTTGCTTGTGACTGGAGGTGCAACAGGCCATTTGTGAGGCATTTGATAGAGAGTTTGAAGAGCCAGTGATTTCAGTCCTTCACTGACAGCACCCACATTACATTGTATGAAGCTTTCCTTCCTATTGTTATCTTTAAAGACAGGAAGGATTGGGTCCATCTGCTTTATGCAGAGAAAAAGCTCAGGATGCTGCATACCCTCAGGAGGACATGGACAGGTGGGCCTGTACAGCAGTGTTCACAGACAGGTGCTTAAAGAATGCCAGATTATTGTGGTGTTTTCCACTGAAAAAAAAATGTATTTATATATAGATACCTCTCCAACCAATATTCAAGAAACACTGTGTTACACAGGAAAAGGATTATACTACGTCCAGTTCTACTTCTCATTCTCTTCCTTCATGTACAGCTATTTACATTCCCAAAATGAAGAAACAATGAAAGAAGGAAAGACAAGGCAGTTTTATAGTTACTAGACAAAAATTTGTACCTGTAGAAAAAATAGAAGTATCATTCAGCTCTGGTGAAACCATCAGCTTCAGATGCCCTAAGGGAAAATAAAAGTCTTCACTTAATTTCAAGCATGAAAATATGAGAAATTCTTCAGCAACTTAAAATCAAGCATCCCTTTAAATAATGCACTGAACCATGACCACATGGGTTGGTGAACAGAGAATGTTACCAGGTGAATGCATTGAGCTCAAAGTTATTGTGAGTTGATCACTTCTTCTTTTGAAATAATGGCTATGATCCCTAAGCTCAAAATTGCATCACTATTTAGTGCCCATTTCTAAGCCTGCTTGCATTCTACACACTTGGAGTACCCCTTTGTCTCACAAAGAGCATTTCCTAACAGCCTCACTGTACCTCTGTGCAGGATAAGAAATTTAAGCAGAACAGTGGAAAAATGCCTTTGTGCCTTTCTGCTCCATCAATTCCCAGCCAAAACAGTAGAAACCCACACTGTAACATGCACATGAACTGAGTGATATGACTTTGTCTCTAGTGTTCAGAAAGCAGGCCAGCTAAAAGCAGGTGAGAAGAGCACAAAGGTCAAGAAGTGAGACCTAAAAATAACTTGCTATGGTGAGTGTCACACACAAGGCACTCCATTATACATTTAGTTGCAGGCATATGCACAGAAAAACAACAGGATAAAAGAAAATCATCTGAGAAGTACTGTGGCAACAGACTAAGTACCCAGGCTATAAGCTTTAATAAAACCAAACAGGATAATTCTCACCTCACAAGCTTTTACTGTATATTATTCCAAAATTATTTTGCATGGTGTTCACTGGAACTATTGTTCTCAGTAATTATCAGCTCAAGTAACAAGCATCACTACAAGGTATGTAACTCCTATTCAAAACAAAGCTTTGGCACATCCTTGATATGATTCAGGTAGCCAAAAATATTTCTGCTTAACATATGCACATGCTTGAAGCTCTGGCTTCTGCAACATGTAGCTCTATGTCATCAACTGTAAGCAAATTATCTGCTCCTTGTTCTCTGGAATATATTTTCCTTAATAAGAGACCAGGTTTTCACACTGCTGCCCAAGTGTTGGCAGTTCATGTAAAATAGGATGCGTATGCCCTATACTGTAAGTAGGAAGGTCTTCATGGCTGCAAAATAAACTGGTGACAGGTCTGTGGGTTGGAAGTGTAATGTACTATTTTATCAAGAAGCAATTTCTCTTGTAGTAAAAGATGTCTTGGAGGTGTCATCCTCCAAAAAAAAAAAACAGGTCAATGCAAGGAATCTTCTAAGAAGAGCATATGTGGAGATGGAGAGGCAGAAGGGAGAAAGCAGGACTGGGATTCCTGCAAATCACTACTTTCAGCAAGAACCTGTCCTCTAACGTCTAGAACATGAGAAAATGTTAGGTATCTTATCACGCATAGCCTGCTCACTAACTGAGCACACCATCAGAGTGTGGTATCAGCAGTCTGCACAACATGCCACACTACCTCTACTGAGCCTAGACTTCCACTCTCACCTACCCAGGTTAATCTTTTCTCCTTGGTCCCTTCCAGTTTCTTCTCCTAACAAGTCAAAGTACTCCAGCCATCAAATCTCCCCTTGTTCCTTGTCATCCTGAAAAGTCATTTCAAATGCAAAGCCCCATCTCTGACTCTAGTGTCTCCACTCCAAAACTTCAAGTATGTATGTTGCCACCATCCTACCACTGTTTTCCAACAGTCTCCTTCACTCTCAGCATTTAGTCCTAAAGAGTCTCCATACACACACAGATGTTTAGCTCCTGTAGCCTTGGTATTTAAAGCATCTTCCCTTCCTCTCTAATAATGTGGTCTCAACAGTAGGGTCAGTGGGAGCCAAGAGAAACTCCCTGAATATACCTCCCACAGCTGCAGCTGCAGTTGTTGCTGAGGCTGTTGAGGACAGAATTATTAGGCTTGGCCAAAGATATAGTAATAGGGACTGGACAAACCCACCAGAATTTCAGTAAGAAACTTAATCTCAACACTAAGACCTTCATTCTATAAAATTTAAGTTGCTTTTCAAAGTGACAGTAGAATTATTCCAAAGAAAAAGACAAGCTAGATTAATTTGTGCTTTTTAACATGGGTATGACTTAGTATTTTCTCCCTTTACCTCATTTGCAAACTTGTTGCACTACAGCTGAAGACAAAGAAAAGACCCTTCCCTCTCTGAACAAGTCCACCTCTTCTGTCTCCTTCCTCCAACACCTGAAGTGGACTTCCTAACACCTCCTTTTTTTCCTTTAACAAAGTTTAAGCCTGGGGTTTGTCTCAGACTGTTTCACTACCCTGTCAGTTAGAGCAGTCTTTCAGATTTGTGGTCCAGCAGGGAAGAACACAGAGGAAACTTCATCAATGCTCGAGTCATGTGAATCATGCCATGGGTATAAGGATGGAACAGTTCGCTCCCCAATAAATTGGCTCCAGTATTTTGCAAGCTGTGAGTACTTTTTAGTGTCTTGCTTCTCCGTGAGTGCAGGGATTACTCAGAAAGAGGTAAAAAGGCAAGCCAAGAGTTTTCCCATATGGTCTTGCAACAAGGTCCTGTTGCTCTTTGACCTTTAGGTGCCAGAAAGCAAATTAACTGTGAGTTTCTCTCTAAGTGAGTTTCTTACATTTTTTATCATTTGAAAGGAAACTTCAAGGATATATTTTGGAAATACTAGGAAAACAGGAAATTATAAACCATAAATTGCAGAGAATAAAAGAAATGAAAATTCTTGGAGGATCTTTAAGACATTCACAGATCCCATGGATTACTGACAGAATAACCCACAACACAGCTATATCAGCTGTGTCAATGGGAGTAGAGGTTTTCAGAAAATGAAGCAACCTAAAGCACACACAATTTTAGCTCTGACAACTTCTATTCTACTGATTGTTTTATTAAACAAAAGAAAAATCTCTTCAAGACAGACTCTTCTCACATCTGAAAGAACAAGCAGCTCAATTTAGAGCAATATTGGGATAAACAGAAGTGATCTGCACGGTCCAGTGTATAATACTTACAGTGTGGAATAGTCAGAGCCCTAAAGAACCAAAGCTGCTGTTTAACAGAGATTCCAGCAGCCACAGAGATGAATATGTATGTAAACACATGCCTACAACATATGGCATGTGTTTCACAGTAGTTCCTCTGTATCTGATGAGAGGAAGAATTCCTTTCCTAAGAGCACAGCAGAAACCAGAGCTGGTTTTCTTCTGAAGACCATCCTACAAGCTTGGCCTAAGGTCAAACTGCAGAGGACAAGGCAGAAGTCAGCCACAGTGTACACTGCTGTGGAGACCCAGGAGATGACTTTTTATCCCGAGGTCATCATGTGCCTCTGTTACCTAAACACATGCAAGAGGAAATTAAAATTTCCAGGCTCTGATTCTCAATGGTCTCAGCAATAAATGCAATGAGATGTGGAGGACAGCCATGAACTACCCAGAAGTGATTATGGTTTGCAGTTTTACAGATGCTGTTCTTTGGCATCTCAGAATATAATTGGCGGGCCCTTTCCAAGTTCAGAAAAGTTATGGGCAATACAGCTTTTAAACGTCATCTGATTTTCTCTGTTCCCTTTGTCTTCAATGCACCAAGTATCCTCTGCTGCTCCTGACAGAGCTCAGAAATAGGTATGGGCAAAGAGATCTACAAGCGCAGGGGCTTTTATTTTTTATCTATGTCTTGCCCATTTTCCTTGCCTAACTGTCTCTGTCTCTGAGGCTCTCTGCACAACAGGTTGCATGGGCCAAAACACCTTCACCTGCTACCAGAATTTCCTAGTGGAACCTGTCCAAAGATGCTGCTGTCCAGAAAGCTGGTCTTCAGCACAACACAGGCTCAAGGGCAAGTCCTGCTACATCAGCAACCAAATTATCTCCTAACAGTTTGATCCAGTATCACCCATCCCACAGCAATAAGCTCTTCAGCCAGAGAATGAATCATCCAGAGCTGGGAAACAAAAAGAAAAAAGACATACAGGTTTAGATCATCAGTGAGAACAATACTTAGAGTCAATAGCATAAAGTAAATAGCTTAATATTACAACTGCATTTGCATCCATACTTGCTTTTCACCAGATCACATTCTTTACCCAACTTATTCCCATTACCAGCTTGGAAACAAACCACTGGATTTTTGTAGGAACTGGAATGAATTTCCTTCTTCTCACCTTATAGTCATAGGATTGTTATTTCAGACCTCAAGGTGTTCTCTGTTCATAATGCAAAGAGCAGCATGGTACAGTTTCATAGTATCCAGAGGAATTTCAGTATGGTTAAGTTTTATGCAAATATAGTTTTGGGACATTTCTGTTTATGCAAGAGGGAGAAAAAAAAGTCAGTATCTGTTTCTTGACTATAAAGGTATTCACTGATCCTACTTCACAACTGCTTCTGCTTTTGCATTTGAGCAATCAGTACTGCAGATAGAAATAAAGATTCCCGTCACTTCTGATGCACAAACACGCAGACTTTTTAACATCATCTCCAAAAGCGGTGTTCAGGTCTTTGCTGAGCTGCTGCTCCTCTCTTGCTCTCCCTGTCATCCATATGTTTAATTTTAAATGTTCTCTGGGTGGACTTGAGCACGTGCCCAGGAGCAGAGAGTTTGGGATCCCTGCTCTGTAACACCTCGCCACTGCTGCCCCTCTCCTGGCAGCTCTGCGGCAGGACTTGACAATGACCACAGAGAAGCCTTCGCCCTGCCACATCCTGCAGCACCGGGCAGCAGCAGCTGGGCGAGCTATCTGTCATGCCTCTGACATAACACAAATCCAAGGCTGCAGGGGGAAGCAGGTGGCATATTTCTGCAGGTGCCTTGGCAGGAGCGTTGCAGCCAGCGAGTCTGACCATCCCTGGCATGTGGCTGAGCTTTCAGGCACCCTCACCACTGCTTAAAGAAGTCGTGCTATTCCTGCAGGTGCTCCTGGGCAACAGCTTGGAAAGCAAGTGTTCAGCCATATGGTGCCCTGGGCATGGAGCCACCGTTGTGAGAAACGTTTGGCACGTAGGCTGCTGTCCGGGAGGAGATTAAAGCACGTCACTACTGGTGGCAGGGGAAAATGAGACTCACACATGGCATACCACTGGTCACAAGCAAGGTGGGTTGAACTCTGACTTCCAAGATGAGGGAGGCAAGGGTGGCATAAAACTAGAAACAGAATGATCACCGGTGTGGGTCTGGCAGGACATCATACACTAGATGTGGCTGACGAGGAGGGAAATGAGAGCAAGCATCCAAAAGTCTGTGGTTAGTCGTGTCTGCAGGAATCCCCCACAAACACACTTTTTGTCCTTTCAGCTAAGCTCACAGGAGGCAATCTGTGAATGTATTCAGGGTATATGTCCCTGAAACAGCCATGATCGCAGGCAAATTTGAATAAAGAATTTCAAGGAAATAAATAAATAGATAGCACACACACACATATTCATACACAAAAGTTGGAAATGATTATATATTTTGTCCAGAAATTAAAAATAAATAAAAGTACCTGATTTCTTCATGCACTCTTTTACGGTAAGAGTGCAGGCTATAGCTAAGTTGCATCCTTAGGTATGCTCCAGTTCAACTAGGTGTTTCTCTCTCTCCTCACTGTTCACTGATTTCCTTCTAAATATAGGGACTTTCTTCTGTGATGGCCTGACTTGACTCACCATGGTAATTTTCATCTTATATTTTACCCAAAAATAAGATTATGCACTTGATATAACTGCATACCAAATAGTAAATACTCAGAGTGGAAAGTTTATGAGCTAAAATGTCTAGATGAATAGGAATGAGGCTGCATATATTTGCAAAACAGAAGGATTCAACAGAGGAGGGGCATAAATTCATTATTTACACTTACAACAAGAAAAGCTATAGTTCTAAAAATTTAGTGACATGCTGTGCATTGCACTGCCCTGCATGATGCCCAGGAGAACATCTATTTTAATTAAACATTGTGTTTTTAGGGTGTTCTATTTATTTTCTCACCCTACATACTAAACTGTCTTGCACAAGAGATCTGGTACCCAGGACTTTGGGCAAGACCAGAAAAAAAATAAAAATAGATCTAGATCTTTTGATGACCTAATAAATAATAAGAAACAGCCTTCTCACATTCTTGGTGTCATTGAATACATTAGTTACTGCTTGCTGTCCATTAGCAAAACAAACAAACAAACAAACCATTGCTGTCCCTTAAAATCAAATTTAATTGCCAACTACACATTCAGGTATGCTGTACCAGTGGAACTTCTTTTATTATCTATATCCACCACTTTCTTAAAAACTTCAGAGTGTTCAACATCAGCAATATTCTTAGGCAATAATTTAATGGAACAGCATCCAAAAGAATGACACGCAGACCAGCTAAAGTGTGAGACCACAGAGCTCTTGAACTGAATCCACTCCCCATGTTAATAAACTAGCAGAACTCTTTCCTGGCAAGACTGATGACATATGGAAATAATACAACACTGAATATAAACACCGCAACCTTTAAACATCATTCTCCAATCCAGAGCCAAAGAGATGGTATCAGCTTCATGTCACAGAAACTTCAGTTGTGGTACCATTTTACAGGCACTCTGGCATGTGTTTAAAAAAAAAAAAAAATCAACAAAAATCAATGTTTAATTGTAAGAAGGTCTTGTAAGATTATGTAGTACAAGCATTGAAGCAGAAAGCTGTAGTAGGTGATGAAGAAAACAAACAGTAGGCAATGGCAAGTAATAACAGGCTGCCTCTCAAGTACCTCACAGTGGACAGCAATCCCCTGAGATGAATGGCAGCCTGGCTGCAGCCATCTGGGCACTTTGCTTTGGAAAGTAAGGTGGCACAGGGCCATCCTAGCTATCCTACCCTATGTGGCTGCAAGAATCCCCTCTACCTGGTGGGAGCACCTCCCTCAGGGTGTGCAGCATGGGAAAGCAGTGTTTATATTTATTAGTGGTCCTCTCATATGCTAGTTATTAAGGAGACTTTACAGAAACAGTGGGGTTAAAAAGGGAAGCTCCTAAAAACTCCAGACGTTCATGCAAAGCAAACATGAAGGGACTCCCTGCTTAGTATTACAGAGCTTTTTCAGATGCAAGGTACAAAACACTACCTGGAAGGACTTGATGTCATTGCCATTGCTGAAGGTAGACAGCAACAATTCATACAGGAGAGAAATGCAGGGAAATGATACTGCCATGATAATACAACACTGGCACCCAGTGGTTTTACAACGAGGACACGTTTGTATTCTGTGTTTTCTTAGAAATGTAGCTGTACAAAACAGATTCCTGATGCATCTCTTTGGTTAAGAAACTTAGACACACTTTGCCAGCTAAGACTAGATTAAAGACTGTGACTTGTTCCTAAGAAGAATGCACAAAGTTTCAACTATTTGTGATTCAGTTTTGGCACTTGACAATGTCATTTGCTGCAGAAGAAATAAGAAAGTGCTCAGGTTCTGTACAGGTTCACATACCAGGTCATCGGTCATCTGGCTTTCTGCAGTAATCTCCTTCTGTGTGAGAAGATTCGTTGAGCTGGTAGTCCTGTCCTTAACTCACACTTATGCCATGTTCTGTTTTGTTGTTTACCTGCAAAAGTGTTCAGCATAAGACAATACAGCTTTCTTCTTTGTGCTATGCTACGAGGAACGGATTACCTTTGAGTTATGCATATGTGCTATTAATATTCCAAGGAACGTTTTGAGTATGAGGTACAACAGGAAAAATACTTTTAGCACATTATTTGTGACAGAATACACAGTGTTGTAGAGAATCAGTTTTTCTTAATTTTAGCATATGCAAACTTGTTATCTCTTCGTATGATAACTTCACAGTCAGTGAAATAACCTGAAGAAGAGATTTACATTGCAAGGGCAAAACACAGTAAATAAAGAGGGAAATCATACTCCACTCCTCTCAAAAGGAGCCAAGGACTCAGGGACTACAACCTTCACAGTTGTAGAGAAGACTGAAGAAGAAAGCTCTACACATTCAGTGATTTTGTGGCCATGGGAACATGTAATCCATTTTTTTCTTAAATTTCTTTGAAGCTCTTGTCTCTGCACTGACAGAGACAAAAGGGAGCAGTCAAGAATATGTTTGGCATGCAGTAGCTTCTTTGCATTGCAAGATACAATCTGAAGCCTCCTTTCCCTCAGAAAAAAAAAAAAAAGAGCAGATGAGAACCAGGAAATAATATCTTGTGAGGGCACTGACAGGAAAGAAAGGAACGGGCATAGGCTTGTTTATGCAGGACTTAATTGCAAATGGTAGCGGTATTAAGCAGGGAACACAGCTGGCCAAAATACGTGGCTTTGCAGTTGAATTCAAGCCGTCAAATACTGTGCGCAGCAGGCAAGCGAAGCAGTTCCTCAATAAATATGCTAGCAGCAATAGCTCTGGGGAGAGCTTTTCTTTGGTCCACAATGAATAAGAGGTTGAACATGCTCAGATGTGCACATGCATGCTCTGTGTCAGACTGAACTTCCTCTGCTGTCTCCTGCCACTCTGTCCTGGGACTGTAGGAAAGCAGTTCATTCAAGGTAATGCCTTCACCTTCTTGGCAATGGTGGGTGACCGAAGCAGAGGATCAGCAGGTGTTGATAGGGACTTCTCCATCCACCCACAGCATCATCTTTCGGATGCTGCAGAACTCAGCCAGGCTCAACACCATGAGTGTAAAAGCTTCTGCAGACCATTACCTGCATCATGGACTTAGCAGTGTGTTTGTTTTCTTTTATTTTTAACAACTTTGTCCCCAAATTGTGACTTTTTAGGCGTATATCTTACGGTAAACCTCCCAAGAGTGTATATTTGAAATTCTGATTCCTCAATGCTTGTATGCTTGTACATTCACGAATGTACACACATTGCTCAACCAGGATCTTTACTGAAGGAGCAATGCAAATAAAATTAAATAACTCACAAAAATAAACACTGTAAACCTCATTGGCATTCCTGTCTTTACAACAGTTCTCAAATCCCATAATAGCCCAGCCTTAAACTAATACTGAGAAATAATTATCACTTTATCCTGCTTGCAAAACAGTATAAAACTGGATGGTTCTGTTGAGCTAGAGAATGATGGGAGAGCACAGTTTACAAGATGAGACTTGTCACAGCTTGAAACACCCCCCTCTATATGTCTGCTCTTTTTTTTTTAAAGAAGCACTTGCACAGTGGCTCACATCTGATCCAGCTCAGTAACATAGAGCGTTCCCATTTATTTCCATAAGAAAAGAAAGAACGCTATAGCCCCGAGTACATTCCAAGAAAATGGCTTAGACTCAGACTATATTGTAGCAGATAATGCAGTTGCCAGTGGGCAGAAGGTTACAAGGCCCACTTCATCTGTGTATGTTTTATCTCTTCCTGTTTTTCCTCAAGCACTCACACCTCCTTCAGACAGAGATTTATTTTTTATTTAATTAGAAAAACAACAGAACAGAGTAAATGTTTTTTTTTTTTCTTTTCTTTTCACATTTGAACAGTTTTCAGGATTATAAATTCCACTGTATTAAATATCATTCAAACATGAGACCAGATGTCTTCATGTTTACAACACATTCTTTTGGCATAGCTTGTCAAAACAAAGTCAGTCTTGGAAAATTTGGATGCGAGTGCTTTCATACAAGTGGCCTCCAGTGCCTTTGTCAGTCCTGTCTGTTTAAAACCATGTATTTTTAAATCAAGTGCCCAAGTGTCCTCTGGTCCTTCTGAACACAATATCCTCTTTAATTTAGATGCTAGTTTAGCTTCTATCTCTCATTCCTTTGACAGTTTGAAGTTCCTTATCTCATTGTGTGATCAAGCAGGCACCTATGAAGGTTTGTGCCCTCTTACAGAATCATGGAATGGCTTGGGTTGGAAGGGACCTTAAAGATCAGCCAGTTCCAACTTCCTCCAGATGTTCTTTGCAGTGAATTTAAAAGTACATAACACTGACAGGCAAGTAAATGCTCCTTAGCTCAGAAGGCAAATAAACACTAAACAGCATGTCTACTTCATGTTTTGGTATCTCCCCTCATCCCACACCAGAAAGTATAGAGTGACAAAAGTAGATTTTAACAGGATGTGGTCGGTGGCTTAAGAAGATAAGATATTTATAAATACAGGATTTTGTTCCTTAGATTCAAACATTCAAATACATCTTTGTCTCCTATATTTGTCAAAATGTATTGTCTTCTAAATTATATAGTCTTCTACTTTTTGTTAGAAAGATGTAGGTCTCCACAAGGATTCAAGAAACAAGTGTTTTCAAGAGAACGTATTTTGTTGTTGTCTGAAGTGGTGTTCATTAATATCTAAAATGTGTATTCCTGAGATAAATTTACAAGGATTAGTGGAATGGAGAGCTGTCATGAAACTGAATTTAACAGACAACCTGTAATCCTACTGGAGTATGTAGACTTCTACATAAAGCAGGCAATTAAAAAGATGCCATGAGCTCTGAAATCTCTGTTATTCACGCCAGATGCTGCAGTCCCTATTATTTATACAGTTTACAATCTTTCTGAAAAATATCTTCAACTTTAATATATATTTCCAGACGGAGTTACAGAAATTATCAACACGGAAAGATTGAATCCTACTCTTGTAGCAAAACTGTGTGCTGCAGAGGTCCAGAAGTTGTACCCAAAATTCATCAGGGGGACACACAGTTGATAAGAGCAAAGCAAGGTTTTGTTTTGCAATGCTTTTCTTTCTTTCTTTCTTTTTTTTTTTTTTCTTTTCTTCCATTGTCATTCCCTTAACTGTCTCTTGTTACAGGTGAGCATGGCTTTGTCTGGACTCTTACTTAAAAGCAAATAAAAACCTATATTAAAGTTAAACCCCAGGTTGTATCTTTTTAGAGCTGTGGGACCTACTTCAGGACTTGGCTAATCCTTCAGAAAACAAACAAACAAACAAAAAAACAACCCTTAGTAAATAACTTTTTGTTTGTTTGTTTTCACCTCTTAAACTTGTAATTTCAAGCAAATAAATCTGAGAGTTTGTATTTTTGAGACAATATTGGACAGATTTCTCGTGGCTATTCAGGATAGTGCCTTTTTTTTTTTTTTTTAATACAATTCTCCAGAAAGTACCTATTTTATAATGTAAAGGGTTGGTTCTGTTACTCATTTTATGATGAATAAATGTCTTGCATGTTCACTATTTGAAATTTTACTGTATTTCTGAGGGTTGTAAGGTTACAGTTCAGAAGGCTGCAGCTTAGAAAACCATGGAAGTTACAGGAGATCACTGTGCATTATCAGCAAAGTGATGCAGCTGACAAACTGAGCTTGAGAAGCCACTCAGTGACATGGCAGGATTCTGTGCCAGAGCACAATCCATCTTTTGTCCCCCACATACTGGACCTCCAAACTGGATCACTACGAAATCCAGTCCGTTTTTCTTGAAAACTGTTTAACATACTAAATGGAAGTCCTGCCTTAGCTAGGAAGGGTCAAAATGTAGTCACTCTGTTCTGTGCTCTCTGTCATGATATGGGAGACACATGGGAACAGCTCAAAGACAGAATATTTTCTTAGAATATCTTCATAGTGCAGTACAGCTGTGTACCACTAAGTCAGGTGAAGAGACAGGGCATCACACAGCCATAAAACAGAAATTCCTTACTTTTCTAAACTGAATGGCAGCCTGACCTGATGGCAGGCACGGTTGAAATTGTTCTGCACTAAGCGGTCTAGCACAAAGGTTGTGTTCTTCCCAGCTCATCTCCTGACTGTTCTCATCTCAGGAGGCCAGATAGCTTGCAGCCCATGTTTCCTGCAGGCAGGAGGAAAACAAATCTTTCCTCAGAGTCACTCCTGTGCTCCCTGTGCAACCCAGAAGGAAAGGCAAGGTAATTTAGTGAAGCTTGCTATGGCAGAGTTATTTTAGCCAAGCACTGTGCAATGAATTTGAATTAAACAAAATGATGTGGTTCTGTCAAACATACTACCAAGCTGAAATCAAAAACCTGTTTACATTTTACAGTTCAAAATTGAAATCAGAGTTTCCAAGGCTGCCACATCCTGGAGAAAAACAGAATTCATTTAACATGCAAGATACAGAAATTCACTACTCAAGTAACTTAATGACTGCGCTACTTTTATAATACTCATGGGTGTGTAAAGAACACCCCTAAATACTCTAATCCCTCTTTTAAAATAAGCCACGAATCTTCAGAATGGTTTCAGAATAACTTGCTGGTAGCTGTTATTCACACACACACACACACACACAGAATCTCTAGGTTGGATTCAGTGCAAAGCTCAGGAGGACAGTGAATATGTATTTTTCCTGAAGTGCTCAACTCAGTACCCAGGAGAAAATCCAGAACCTTTGTTCTATCTGTCATGTATTCGTGTCTGCTACTTCAGACACTCTTCAAAAGGTTGTGACTCATAGCGTGCTCCAAATGTCTATCAATTCAAGACTTTTCTTCTCTCCTGCCCTTCTAGGCAAAGGGTGGGAAGCTGAAGAGCAAACAATGGACTAACTGTAGAAGGAAAGAGACTGCACATACTAATTTTTATGCACACATCTAAAAGACTGTGACCATGTATGACTTCCTTTTGATATGTGTAACAGTTCTGCTTGCAGAATCTCACAGGATCAACCCCAACACATTGTTTAGTGTGACAAAATTGTCAAAACACTCACACCCAAAAAACTCATTATATGAACATTTTTATTATTATTATTTTTTATTTCTTAACGGTGTTTGGATTGGTAACTCAACTTTTTGAATACATATCTACACAGACTCATGCATGTCTAATGCAAACATAAATGCAAGCATTTTCTAGAAATAATTAACCGGGCAATTGGTCACAAAACCTTAACTTTTTGAAAAAGTTTTTTGAGCAAATTAAAAGCAGCATTTTTAATGGTGTTACTTTTGCCCTGTGATTTCTAAGGTGACAGGCTGAATTCAGCCTCGCTCAGCAGGAACTGAAAGCTGCCATTACTTAACAGCTACTTACTGGCACATAGGAAATGAACTGACACAGTTAACTTGGCCCAAACAGGGCTATAGTCATGAAAATGGAAACGCTTTTTGCCCTTAAATAGGGCACAAGGATAATTCACCAGCATACACGTAATTTAATTATGGAATGCAGTAGTGGGTTAGCAGCTATCCAACAAATGCATTTTAAAGCATTCCCATTGGAAAACTTCTGGAATATTTTGTCCAGTAGTGATTTTCACATTTTTTAAAGTGAGAAATCATAAACTAAATCTAGCTGAAATTTCATACGTTTATGAATGACATCATAGGAAGCTATTGTCACATATTTAATTATACCAAACAGAAAAATTAGATTTTTCTACAAACTTTACTCACACTTAGAAGTGTTTTGCTCTATCCGATGCTATGTACTAAAATATGTAAGTGATTTATTTCTAAACAGAGTTTCTTCCACTTTTCATTAGTCAGGCAGCAAGCTCACTATCCTCCAAGTATGTTATCTGACTTTCAAGCAGGAGTGTAGTACATATGCATGATCGTACACAGCATGCAGTTCTTTATATTTTACATTTATCTTACATCTCCAGTGACAAACATTTGGCAAAAGAAAAGGCAGGTTACTAGACAGGCAGTTAGTTCTTTGTTTTAAACTGGCACAGAACAATTTCTTTGTTCTCCTATAATTAATTCTATTAATCTTCAAAGAGCTTAATAGGCAGCGCTATACATTTCTGTACTTAACACTACTCATATTAGTCACATATCTGAAGTTAAGTAAGAACCGAGATTGTGGTATAATAAAATTTGAGCAATGCTAAAGGAGTGTAAAGTCAGAAACCATTTGTTGAGTGGATGGCTAACAGAAATGTCAATACAGCAGCTGTGTTTCCATAGCTGCTTAAGTCGCTTTCCTTCATTGATAATCATGCTCCAAAACACGTATAAGGACCTTATATGAACTACTTCCAAATAAGAAAAGATCATTTTCTTAGTATTTCTCTAACCATTAATGCCTTCCAGTGCACATATTTACAACATATAGCTTAGCTATTCCTACAAATTTAAGAAGTAATGTACATTATCAATAAAGCACGGGAAATACAGAAAATGAAAATGTAATGATTGCAAATTCAGAAAGGAGTATTAAAAGCTGCAAAACTTACGTCTAGTTAAGTATTTTCAAGGTGCTGAAAAAGCTCTGCAGTTTCATGTCGAGCCCCAGTACTCTCCTGCACTTGCTTTAGGTGAGTTTTCTTTGTACCACACAATCAGCAGGGTCATGCAGCCATTACTTAACAGACTCTCCACAGGTGTGTACACCTGTGAAGGACCCCAATATACCTCATCTTCTGATCATATACCTGATCTTCTTCACCCTGTACTACAGCCTGCAGGTCTGCCTTGAGACGTTCCAGGTTACTCTGCAACAGAAATCAGAGTGAGTAGAAGCATCTAAAAACAATTAGCAGCCTTTAACCATCCTGAGCAATCACACTACTGACTAGTATACAATTTTAAATAGATCAGTACTGCTAATTAGAGACTATTATTCACTTTAATAGCATTTTTTTTCAGGGCTATACATTCACACCATTTCAGTGTGATAGTCTTAAATATGAAATCCAACTCACCATTTTATCCTCACAGCATCAACAGGAAAACACTATCCTAATTTAAGGGAACTATGCCACTGAAGCAGCCTGTTCCACCACAGGATGAGTATGGGTCACCTATGCAGATGACATTACCAATATGCTGCCATGGCAAAACCAGAGAAATTTAAGAATTGTGTTTGAGATCTCTGCTTTACTGAGCAATTCTACCTCTCTTTCGGGACATTTTTATGGAAGAAGGTCAGAAAAAGAGGGCCAAATGACTCTCTAATGGGTGTGCTAGTTAAAAAATGTGTTTACAATAGAACTGGATAGAAGACACTGATGTTTTTGTCATGTTGTCTTACTTCAGTTCAGCAACGCCATCTGGGATAAGTTACTTATGTTTGGTACTGGACCTATATTTGTATCCTGTGAAGTGCATGTTCCCGGTTTAGTATTTGTTTCTACTTGGTTTAGTCTACTGGAACTGCCACAGCTGCTAATGCTCCAGAAATTCCAAGAAAAAAGAAAACTTCTGAACCTATGGCTTTTTTTTTTTTTTTTTTTTTTTCTGAGAAAGCTCTCAGCAAGTTAGACCGCATCACACAGTATGCATTTTTTGCATGAGGAAATTTTATTGTGTGATAATAACCAGTAAGCATTTGGCTCATGTAAGCTCTATCAGCTTGTCTTTCAACAGAGATCAAATAGAGGAGGGGAAAAGGAAAAAAGAAAAAATGTTTTTCCCTTTTCCATGAGATGCGGACACACAGCTTACAGACCTACCTGAGTACTGACTGAATTTTGCTTTCACGCTATGAATTAAGCTGCAAAACACCAAAGTAGCAAGGAAATCACAACAGGGCTACAGGTTTTCTAGTGTTAGCCTCAATCCGCTGGTCAATACTTGAACGGTTTTGGCCACAGTGATCACCTGAATGCTTCCACAGTGAGTGGAGGAGGCAACCATGAGGCATAGCACTGAACACTGGTCTTCAAAGAAGTAGAAACTGGGGACACCTGAGTGTCTAAAATGATTTTTTGTTTGTTTGTTTGATTGTTGTTTTTCCTTTTTCTTCCCTGCACCTCATCCAGCTCTTTATACTCTGAGGCAAACAGCAGTTCTCTGTCACATGGGGTAGGTGGGGAAAGCAGCAGGAGCATCTGTCTGCACCCCGGAGGCCAGAAGGGGAAGGCAGGATGGAGGACAGGTGGAAACAACGCCACCCAACAGCTGAAAATCCCCAGAAACGCAAGTGCTGTCCACTCAATGAGGCATCAGGATGGTGGAGTGGGGGGACCCATTTTGGAGAGCCTGCAGCAGCCACACTGCAGAAAACATGAAGGTCAACCCTGTAAATGTCCCCCAAGTGGCTGCCAAGTGCCAACTACTTGTGTCTTCCTCCCCGGTCTCCGGCAGGTAGATGTCCTCTGACCCTCACTGCCTGCCTCCTCCAGCCAACCCCCTGGCAGGAGGTAGCCCTGGCAGCACACCCTGGCTGCCCGGCCATTCCCTCAGGCTGCCCGCCGCCATCTTCCCGGGTGGCCCTAGGCCGCCATCTTCCTTCAGGGAGCCGGGGGGAGCAGGGGGCAGCCAATGTGTTATGCAAATCTGCCATCTGCTGGTGCTAAACGGATGTTAAACGTCTTAAATGGATGCTTAGAAGAGCCAGCCTGAGCAAATTAGTAAAGAGCAGCCTCCCCCTTCCACCTCCTTCCCACCCACCCCCCCACCCCCCCAAAAAAAAAAAAAAAGTGCTCTGGGCTTCCACTGCACACTCTGTCTTCTGTGGCTGCCACCATGCTGTGAGGATGAGAAATATGAAAGCAAAGAGCATTAGCTAGGAATCTGGATAAGAACCTTACCCTCCATTACAGGACAGCTTGTTGAAACTGAAGATGAAATACATTTTCAAGCCTAGTAAAACCAGCTGAGAAATGTTTGCTGACTGGTAACTGTCTCTCTCTCCCTCTCTCTTTTTTCCAGTAGGTAACAGTGTTGAGATGGAAGCATTTTTCACAACCTTGTCTCATTTTTAACCTGAAGTGATGCTGTAGCTCTGGGACAGCGAGGAATTGATCATATTTCCACATTTCTGCTGGAGCTCTTCTCCACAACCCTTTAGCTGCAGGTATGTTGGTTGTGATGCAGACATTTGTCTACAAAACCAACGTCATCAGTAATAGTCTAATTTTCATTTCAAATAATTGTGTATTAATTTTTACTGAACTAAATCCAATACCTGAAAAAAAGCGACATCTCCTATGATTATATATGGATTTAAATTAAATGTTTTATGACAAAGAATAAACTTTTGTTTGTAACCAGCAGGTGGCAGTTATAGATTGTTACAGCTGCCACTTACTCCTGGTAACTGAGTAACTGCAGGTTATAGGTCTCTTATCAGATATAGGTTTCATTATTTACATTTGACTGTTTTAGCTATCATTCTGTCAGCAAAAACGCTGCCTAAGTGTGGTGGTTTCACCCTGATGGACCGGTAAACTCCACCACAACTGATCTCTCATTCCCCATCTTCAAAGGGAGAGAGGGGAGGAAAGTATGATGGGAAAGAAAATTTTCTTTTTCTTTCCCTTCAGGGTCACAGGTTGGGATAAGGATAATTTAATTAAGGGGAAATGAAAGAGGAAAACAACAACAAAACAAACAAACAAAAGACAAACAAAGGTTTTGTGGAAGCCAAGAAAGTGACAAAATGATTATTCTCTACTTCCCATCAACAAGTAATCTTTGAGCACATCTTGGGAAGCAGGGCCTCAATACATGTAGTGGATATTTGGGAGGACAGACATCTCTGTGATGAGAGTCCCACCCCATTTCTTCCCCTTCCCAGCTTTTACTGCTGAGTGTGACACCATATGGCATAGAATATCCTTATCCTTTATGTCAGTCTAGGGCAGCTCCTCTGGTGATGTACCCTCCCCACCTCTTGCCCAACCCCAGCCAGCTGGCCCCTGAGGGGCCCTTGAGAGAGTTTTGATGCTGTGTCAACACTTCTCAGCATCAGAGAAAACATTGGTGTGCCATCAGTGCTATTCTAGCTACAAGTGCAGAGCACAAACTATATGGGATGCTGTGGGGAAAGTTAACTCCATCCCAACCAGACCCAGTACACCAGGACACCAAGAAAGCAGTTCTGGAAATCAGCTGATTGCAGCAAGACTGTAGATTCCTGACAGTTTTTTCTAGATTTTTGAATGCAGTCCTTAGTTGTTCTCTAGAAAGTCTGACTAGTGCCAAGTAATTGGTTCAATGGCTTACATGATTTTGAACATTCTTCTTTTGCTGTTATTCATCTTCTAAGAAGTAAGGAAGTACAAAGTTTTGAACTAGTTTTCAGGGAACATCTCTGCAAGAAACTTTATGCAGTATTTTGGAAAAGTGACTGATTTGTTCAGCTTTATTTTGATTAGAAAAGTAATTTGCTTTCTTTATTCTTTAATATCTAATTGACACATTCATTAATATTTGTAGGCACATTGCACTTCCTCCAACCCAGCACTGTAGCTAAATGGTCAAAAGGCTATGTAACGTATTTTCTTCTAGTTGTTTAATTTAACCTGCTACCAAATATTTAAGAAGCTCTGTGTTCTTAAGTATGTAGGGACAGTGTATGAATGGGATAACATTTTCATTACTCATGAAATTGAAATGTTCCTACTTCCAGTCTCACAGGCATTATAGTGAATTGAGAATGCAACTTCAGTGGCCTGGAATAGTGCATTCATATTTTAAACATATTAGTGAGACCCGAAAGTGTGCTGTTGATCCAGAATATGTGAACATGAGTTCACAGAACATTTTCAATATTAAAGGTACCAGTTAATTTTGAAAAATAAAATGACAAGAAAGAAAGTGAAGCTGTAATAGGTACAAAATCTAGGAACACCCAGTCAACAGACTTCTGTTGACTAGACTGGAAGAATAAACTTTCAAGTGTTCCAGTTTTCAAGTGCTGAAGCTATGAAGAATTTCAGTGTCTATCAGCACAGGCAATTGTCTTGCTGACCAAGGGATGAATGGTGGTATCCTTAGCCTGCACTGTGATCTCTAGCAAGTCACAGAACATTTCCATGCCTTAATTTCTTATCTGCTAGCACAGACCATAAAGAAGGGCAAGCTTTAAGCATTGACCTTCAATGCATGCTAGACTATTTTGAATCTTATCAAGGAGCCAATTTGCAAAAAGACTGTTCAACATGTTAGCTCATGTATAGATGTGCACATCATTAACAAGCATCTTAGGACGGACAGAGACATCATCCAGGTACTACAGTTGCTGAGCAGGAGTTAGCAGGTATAATCTGGTGTTTTATAAAGTGTAAAGTATCCTGCCTGAAGGACAAATTGTCTTGTGCACTGCTAAGTCAGTGCAGTAACAGCAACTGTGTATTCCAGACTAGAGTTACGGTCTGGAGCCACATGGGTTGTGGCAATCCAAAATGTCAGTACAGACTGGATGACAAGTGGATTCCCAAGATTATACAACATCTTGAGTCAAGCAGGCCAGTGAATTATAGAATTTTGAACTGGGTTCTTAGACAATGTTTAGGGCTGCCACTTGACTGCTTTTATTGAAGAAAAAAGTAATAATAATAATAAATAAAATATATTTCACAGGTATTAAAAACTGTCTTCTAAACAGGAGTGGAAACAGATGAGAATAAACACTTAGATCTACATTTATCACAGTCTAACTGGAAGCAGAAACACCAGCATTGGTAAGAATATTGGGATATTAGAATTTGCAAATTGTGTTCAGCATCTCTGGTGTTTCAGCTCATTTTTAGGAAAGAGGC